CACAGCCTCAGGCGCTAAGAGGAGCCTCACATCTTCACGAACTCTTCCCTCATCCTCGCTACAGCAGCACAATACTGAGTCTGTATTCACGGTTAGGCGCCGCACCTCAGTGACAGGCACAAGGACTTAATTAGGAGTTCTCTGCTGCCTTCCTATGTGCTTGATTGAATAACAGGTTGTTATGGGAACCAAACAAACCAGCTGGATATGTTATATAATGCAGTGTCAAACCTATGATCTGTTCTCGAGTAACATCAAGAAACTATTAAACAATTTCATTGTTACAAAAAATCTGAATGAATTCACAAGACACAAAATAAGATGTACTCTGTGGAAGTCCACTGCTCAGAAGCTCACCAGTGTGTTTGGGCCAAGCTGCAACACAAAAAGGACGGTGTGGCTGTATTGGCTGAGCTCCACTGGAGGTCCGTTATTCATTATTCATACAAGCAGTGTTTTTTTTTTTTTTTTTTGCAGAGCTTCTTGCTTTAGTGGAGAACAGAGTGGGGGCCTCGTATTTTTCCAGACAAAGTGTAGAAACTCCAATTCTTGAGAGTGACTCACAAAATTACATAGGCTAGCCCTATATTTCTATTGTAACATCATAGTAAAAATAATAATCATCATCATCCATCCATCCATTCATCCATTTTCAACACCGCTTACCCAGGACAACGTTGCAGGAGTGTGCTGGAGCCTGTCCCAGATGACTTTGGCCAAAAGGCATGATGCCCTCAACTGGTCGCCAGGCAGTCACAGGGCAATAATATTAATAATAATAATAATAATAATACTGCGATTGGTTGGCCACCGGTTCAGGGTGTCCCCCGCCTACTGCCCAAGGACAGCTGGGATAGGCTCCAGCATCCCCCCGCGACACTTGTGAGGATAAAGCGGATCGGAAAATGGATGGATGGATAATAATAGTAATAATAATAATAATAATAATAATAATAATTGGCCTGGCAACCAGTTCAGGGTGTAGCCCGTCGACTGCCCGAAGACACCTGGGATAGTCTCCAGCATTCCCGTGACCCTTGTGTGGAGAGGCAGATTAGAAAATGAATAGATGGATGAATGGATGGATAATATTTTAATAATTATTATTCGGGGGAACTTGTGTCCTGTTCCCATCACCTTTTCAGCATGGCAGAAGAAGAGGAAAGCAGTGACTCACATGATCCGCCGAACCTGACCTCATCAAACAGTTTTCCAAAAGAATGGGAGCAGCATAGATATGTCCTCTCTTCTATTTTTCATATGTTCATAACATTGTTCCTTGATTGAATGTCTCCCTCTACCGCATGCAACCCTCTAATGTGTACGATCGGGATAATAGACTTCATGTTTAATTTGTCCTTCCCTTATTAACATAAATAAAAGGTATCCACTTGGTCAGCAAAAACAGCAACAAAAAAAAAACAAAAAAACAAAAAAAAAGAATTTGGAAGCCAAAATGTCCTCCAATTCTGGAATGACCCATATGTTAACCTATATTTAAGCATATGATGTCAAAATGTGTTCTTTGAGCCACCATAGTAGGCCTCGCTTGGCTGGGCAACTCCCCCTATTTTAAAATACATGGTCAAATGGCGATCTGGAGATCAACTATTTCGGCCAACCTCTCTAAAGGGCTGCGATCAGTCATAAGCTAATCTCGGAAGCTGGCGGTGGGCAACGTAACCCTCCCGAGTGTAAAATATCACACAGGGTGACTTTGCGTTTCCTCAACCTGGACGAAGCCAAACAGATGGTCCAACACCCTTTTAGAAAGTGAAAGGCTAACTGCTGTGTAAAGTGTGCATTAAAGAGACACTGACCCCAATTTAGTGTGGAATGCCATGACGGTCCTCACCTCCTGTCCTTGGCAAGAGGTGTCAGGTGTCTTTACCTGGAAGACAAAAAGCTGGATTCAGTCATCATTTTCTATTTCACATTGAGAATTATATCATTGTTTTCTGCATCTCTGTTTCTTATAAAGCACAGGTGTCAAACTCAAGGCCCGGGGGCCAGATCCGGCGCCGCCACATCATTTTATGTGGCCCGCAGAAGCAAATCAAGCATGTCGACTTAGATGATGCTTGCTAAAATCTCTACCAAAATTAAAATTTTTCATATGTAATAAATAAGAGACATATTGTAGGCATTTTCTTGTAACCAACCCCCTCATTACAGTTACTTAAACAATAGTTGAATGAACCGTTATTATTGACTTTTTTTTATTTGGTTTCAGTCATAACGGCCCTCTAAGGGAAACGGTAACTCAAATGTGGCCCACGACAAAAATAAGTTTGACACCCCCGTTATAAAGGGAGAGAAGTTCTCCAAAATAAACTTCCCTCAAATAACGGAAGGCGTGGATGAGTAAGTGAGTAAATTCTGCCCCGTTGCTACGGTGGTTTGTTATTGAATCCAAGTAGAGTCTGACAGGCAGTATATTCTCTCATCACCAAGTTTGATAGGACATTTTTGAACACTGACATCGAGGAAATATGCTTGAACTTTCTTTCACTCCTGCTCTCAGCAGTTTCTTTCCAAAAGTTCCCCCCCAAAAAACGAACAATGATACGAGTCTACATACATACACACACACACACACATGCTGACATTTCCCTCCCCTTCCCGTGTTGGTGCAGCCGAAAAAGGGCCTTCCATTACATCAACCCTAGCAACGGTGAAAACATCCAAGAGGCCAGATGGAGCCAATCCCGATTACACAATGTTTGCCCACTCTGTAGGAAAAGTTAGCTCCGTGCCTTTTCCTGCCTCAATACATGTTTCCACTAAAAATAATCTGACGGTTTAAAGTGAGTGTTTTTATGATCCCACGGAGCTCCTCTTGTTGACCAAAGCACGGCAAGTGTTATCTGAAGTGCTACAGTGGTTATTTATGGGACGTTTAGTGCATTCCCATATTCTTTGTAACTGTTTATTCCCTTCTGAATACAACTCATATTTCACTCTGTAGCCATGAACGTCTTTTATTTTTAATTCGAGCGCCCTGGAGACCAAGGTTGTTGTTCAGGACACAACGCAAGAAGGTAAAAAAAATGAATTTAGTTGATGTCAACCCACAGTATTTGTATCTATATTTTGCAACAGATACAAGTGTATTTTGAGTTCTGTGGTTCATCATTTTTAATGACATGGGGGGGAAAAAAGTCTTCAAAGTGTAGGAAAGAAAAAAACAAACGCTCTGAAAACATACCACAGTGCTTTTATTAGGTGGAAATGTGTCGTGAGTAAAATGAGATTGTAACCAATAAAAGTAACATGTTTATCATTGCGTCATGATGAGACATACTGATGGGATAAATAAAAAGCCCTGAAACCAGGTGTCGGCAATCCAAAATGTTGAAAGAGCTATGCAGTATATCGGACAAAAAAAACAAAAAACAAATATGTCTGGGGGCGCAAAAAAATAAAAGCAACAGACGCTGTATGTATCTATATTAGCCTACTATCAAAACGACTACGTTGGCTACAAATGATTACACAATGAGCCTTCACGATTCACTGTTTTTTCCCTTGCAGTCACCTTCTTTTTAGAGCAGGGGAGGCCGACCTTTTTTGACTGAAAATCTACTTTTCGATCAACCGACCTCCCGCGATCGACCCGTTACCGTACACGCACGCATTTACACACGCCCGCCATAGTGCGCAACAGCCACAGCGGCCCCGAAGATGAACAAAACAGGAAGTGGACACAAGAGTTGAAATTACTGCCTACCTTCGTCGAAACCTGACGCGGAGGGATGAGACGCACTTTTGCGGCGTGCTACCTATCATAGCTCACGCGTACCGTTTTCAAATGCTTCTCTCGGACCATCAGATTCCCATTCTTTGCCAGTATCCTCGGTGAATTGTACATGAAACGCCGGTTTTTCCTGCAACAGACATCTGCCTGGCATCCCGCCCTGCTAATTGAAACGTGGGTCGCAGGCTATGACGCAATTCTTCGTTGACAGAAATGTTGAACTTTAATATTTATTCAACATTTTTCTCGCATTGGAAAACGTTTCGAATGTTTGTGTCTCTTTTGTCCTCCGACAGAAATCACATTAAAAGAAAAAATATATTCCCCCACTTCTTTTTCCATTTTCAAACATTTTTGAAAAATCTCCAGGGAGCCACTAGGGCGGCGCTGAAGAGCCGTGGGTTGCCGACCCCCACCTTAAGCCATTTTCTTTATGTTGAGAATCTGTCATACAAGTTTTGATTTGATTGACAGAGGCTACTGAAAAGCATCAACAAACTGTTTTAATGGATTGATTCAAATCATGTTTAATTATGTTGTGTGTGTCAACTTAAAACAGGAAATAAACACATGACATTTCAACTGGGGGGGGGGGGGGGGGCCTGACCTATGAAGGTGTACACAACACAACAAAACCTTGTGACCGGTCAGTGCCGCTAAGCCGATACAAAAATAGTCAGCTGTAATGAACACACACTCTTATGTAAGGATCCTTTCAGCCAGCACAGATAGCACAGTGTCAAGTGAACAGTATCCAGAAACTGCCACCATTTCCTCTTCGTGACTATGGCTTTCTTTTGCATTCCGAGTCACACTAAATAGAAGCATGTAAAGCCGTCAACCTGCAAACACTGCATACTGCACCTTGCAGATCTCCCAACTGCTCACAAAGTAGTGAAAGTTGAGTGACCGGTTGCTATGAATGGCACAACCAACATATTACACCTGCACGGTAAAAGGTTAAGAAAAAATAGTAATAACCAAAAGCATACAGACACACATCAGCTGTAGGTGTTTTTGTATTTTTTTTCCCATCACCAGAGCTTTACTCCATTACTTTAAACAACTATGGAAAATGATAAAACAGTAAACATCATTCAGTAAAAACATTAATATTAGTTGGTATATTTTAAATATGCTGTTGGTTGAGCAATTAGTTCAGCTGCAAGTGCAGTGATATACAACACATGCATTTAGGGTTAAGAAATATTCGTAATGCCTTTTTTTTTTCAAATTTAAAATAGCGTCCAGTGGACAGAGGCCTTCATAACATGTTTGTGACATGCTTTCATCAAAATACCTCAATCAAGAACTACTGTACAACACACTTTAAAGGTACAGTGCGTAAAATGTACTTGCCATCTAGTGGCGAACTAATAGAATGCAACAACAATTTTTGGCAGATAATTGATTTTTTTTCTTTTTTTAATGAATGAACATTGAAGCATCAAAAATTTTGAACACACTGTCTCTTTAAACCCTTCCTTACTAACTTTTCTGAAGTCATCTTGCCAATACTCACCCCGTCCCCCACCCCTCAACAGCGGGGTCTGTCAACAAGTGGATGGCTTTTGTAGAGCGAGCGAGTGGTAACTTGTTGAGCCCAGAGTGTAAAAAGAAAGACAGATTGGATTTTCACTCGTGGAGCCAGCACATTATCACAGCTGCCGAATTAAATCTGGCAATTAGAGTGCTGATCCATGCATGTGGCGCATGCAGCAGACACAGACTTAAAAACACACAACAGAACTGCTCGCTCACAAACACATTTTGGGAAACAGGTAGCCCAGAAAAAGATTTACTTGGTTAGGCACTCCAGAGTCCAAATTATTTGCATGCAAGTAGTCAATTTTCCCTAATATGTCTCTTAACGTGTTTTGAGAGACAGTACCTTATAGTCCTCACAAATCAATCAGCGATAGGCCGTTAGGGAAGAAATTGCATTTATAGATGAAATTTACTGTTTGGATCCCAGCGACGGTATATTGAGAATGGAACATAACTGAAAATCAATAGTGTTGAGAAAAACCAGAACAGTAAGGACACAACAGAAGAGTAAACACTGAACACTCATGTCATGTCGAAAGCCATTCAACATCAACAGGGATCTTTTCTAAATCAGCCGCAGATCAAAGTTACGCTCTGAAGCGAGCTGACCAGACAGCTACCAATCTGACGTTTTGAGCTCAGCTACCTTACGGGTCATGTTGTTGTGAATAGGGGATCTTAATTTGAAATTTGAGAACTAATCCCCAAAAGACCGTGAAGGAGATCATCCGAAAATGTTGGCCACTCATAAAATACCTCCATATGATGGCTATGGATGGATGTCAAACCCCCTCAAGGGTACTACAATTCAAGAGCTGCAGTGTCTCCTATGAACACCGACGCTATTCGGCCAATCTACTCTTGCTTTTGGAATCAACGCATTCATTGATAAAATACAATCTTCTTGACCATCTCTAGGGCCTTTAAATTTCCAACGATCGCCTTTCATTCACTCTTGATCGGAGCTAGCGTCAGCAGGGCTGCTGTGTCCCTCCATCTCAGACGGACTCGGTCTGATTTGTCTCTCTGCAACAGGGGACGAAGATTCGCCTTCCCCCGCAATGTCAAAATCATCGGCGAGCTCGACATGCTGTTCTTTGGAGATCCTGATGCTGTATCCTCCTCCACCTACTCCCTCTAAAGCACTCCCAAACTTGGAAGACCTCAGTGCGGCCATGATCTTCTCTTCCGATAAACTGTCATCGTCCAGCAGCCCGGAGTCGTCCAGCAGCCCGGAGTCCTCCAGCGTTTGCGAGACGTTCAGCTCCGCAACAATGGTTGTGGTGCCGCCTTCACTTGACTGCTGCACTTTCTTGACGTCAACGGCGACGTTCTGGGGACTTTCACTGCTTACTTTGGTGAGGAAAGCTAACTCCTCCCTCAGTGGGCCTGACACGGAGCCCTGTAACTTCTCCAAAGCTCCTCTCAGTTGCTCTTTGGGCTCCAAGGAGTCTTCTCGCAGGAACTCAAGCATTGACTCCTGCACTATGGGGGAAACACGAATCTCCTCTTCAATAATGCACTCGGGAATGGTCTCTTTGAGAAAAGGCGGATCTGACATCAACCTGTCCTCGTCGTGTTCTTCAAGTATGGTTCTGGTTTGCGGAAGTCTGTCATCTCGGTAATACCTTTCATCGGACAAGTCATCCACCATCCCATAATGACCGTATGAGGTAATGCTGCAACCCTCCTCGGGTTCAGAGAGATTATCGTCTGGCGTGGAGACAAAATACTCAGCGGGCTCTTGATCATGGGTGAAATATAAAGACTCACTCTCCTCCTGAGCCTGGACAGGTTCGACTTTGGACCTTTTCACGGGGTCAAAACGACTCCTCTCAACTTGCGCGTCTTGGTCTTCTTCCATCTCCTCAATTTGGAAATATGCCGAGGGCTCATAAAAACAAGATCTGGACTTCTCAGTAACGTCTTCATCGTAAGACTCCACCGGTTGCTCAATAATTTGGACATTGACAGATTTATTTTGTAGGTTCGCTTCTCCCTGCAGGCCACTGAGCAGGTTCCTGATCATGCTTCCTGTTGCTGTGTCCTCGATGTCCTCCAGGGAAACCTTCTTCACCCCTTGGCTTAAAAGCTGCTCCAGGGCCGATTCCTCTGAAAGGTCCACTTCCTCCTCCACCTTAGACTGTAACACAATCTGAGTCTTCATCGAGCCGTCCCCCTGTTTGATTTTTTCCACCTGATAGGTCATCTTTGATTCTCCGGAGGAGCAAACTTTGGCTTCCAAACCAGCTGGTTTGATCACCGTCTCAATGAGCTCTTCCAAAGACACACCATCTAAAGCCTTTCTCTCACTCGACTCAATCACGGGCTTGATTTTGTCTTCCTCCTTCGACTCGCTTACACATAGATTTCCTTTATCCGGTTCATCTGCGCCCTCAATTCCCGTATCCGTCTCTGGTTTTATGTTGAGGCTCCTCCCCCTCGGTGGTGACAACGCCCTACCTGAGGGAGTGTCTGCAAAGGACTTCGTGGAAGTGGTTTGGCTCCGTACCTTTGAGACATGTTCGGTTTTCTTTATTTTCTCTGCTGATAGTGAGCTTTGTCGCTCGGTCTGGATGATTTCTTGATCTTTGGGAACAGTGGAAGAAGTGGAAGCCCGGGCTTTGGTGAATGAGATCATGTCCCTTCTGGAGGCTGGACTCTGATGCTGAGATCTGGTTGCAAGTGAAATTGGAATAACCCTGGAAGGACTTCTGGACTTTGAGGGAGCTACGGGAGATTTTCTCAAAATAGACGACGGCGTGAATCTGACGTCCATAGGCTGTCTGCTTGGGGTGAGAGTTCTTGGAGCGTAGGGTTGGGCAGGCATCTTGATATCTGTGGCAATTAATGAGTGACATTTATTCCTAATGTATTTCATTTTCAAATAAGGTCAATATGTTCAGACTTTTACCTATGATCCTCTCCCTCTGGTGTTCGCTTATTCTTCGGTGAGCATCTTGAAGCCCAACTCTCTCACCCTCCAAGAGCGCTCTAGAGAAACATAAGCAAAGCTAAATCTACAACAAGCAATGGGCAAGCCCTCGCACTGCACACTGCTTTTATCTGGCAACATTTTTCAAATGTGCACATGTCAAATTAAAATAAATACTTAAATAAATAAATACGGTTAAATTTTTTTTTTTTTTTTTAAACTTTGCTATGTTGTATCGCCACCGATTGATATGGGATACCTGCATGTGACTGGGGTTCATTTGGTCAACTTCGCTGATGTACGAGCCCTGAAATTCTACCAAAATGGCCACTTCAAAACTGAAAAGGGTTGACTTATTGTTCAATGTCAGGCATGGGTCCTTGAGACTTTTTTGTCCATCTATTAGTGTCAATCGGTTCAGGGGCAATTTTTTTTTTCTGTTTCCAGGGGGTCTTGTGTTCAGGACCTCTTAAAAGGCATATATTTACACGAGGATAAATGCGCTTGCAAAAATTGTTGGGTTTTCTAGCATGTTAATGGCCCCCAATGGGGTAATTTGGAATAACAATAGGCATAGGCGTCCAAAAATTGCAGATCAAGACAGTTCTATAGATGATCACTTCTCTTGTAGGCAAATATGAGACCGAGGATAATTACCGTGTAAGGCACTCGATATCTTCTCGCTCTTCCATCTCCAACTTCTAAAGCTAAAAAGCCTTGGAAGACACGACGAACCCTGGCTACATACAGTAATGCTCATGAAAAAAAAAAAAAAAACAACGAAACAATCGTAATCGAATTAATACCACTTGGTAAGCTTCTTAGTCCTCACTCCTGGGGCATGTTTCAAGTAGCAAACATAAGCAAATGACAGAAAGAAGCTCTCGCGGAGCGTGCCTCCCAACAGACTGAGATAAAAATAACAGCAACAAAGCGGGCCTGTCAATGCTTCCCTTTAAATTCCAATGCAAATTCTACTCGTGACAACGCCACCATGAAAACATTTAGCCTGTGCCACCTTCTGACTGACCAGGAGTGGATTTACGTTGCCTGGTTCATGTAACACAATTGCGATACGCGTCATGGCAGCATTAAGAAGAAAAAAAAATGAAATCGGATATTTTCAGATTGGAATCAGGCCTCATCTAAATGGAGAAAAATGTTGATGCGTATCTGCTGATGCGAGTGCGGCATAAACGCCAAGGTCAGGCATACAGTGTCGCTGCTAGCTTGAAATCATCAAAGTACGACGACAGGCGGCACTCACTTTTGTCCAAACAACACAAATAAATGCATGAAAAAAAGTCATGTTCAACAACATCAAACCAATATGGTCTATTTGATTTCATTATGCCAAATTCTAAAGTACAACGCGGCCTCACCTTCATTTAAAGAGCCGAAGCGTCGTAAATATTTGGATTATGTACTGCACGTCCTTCACGCTTACATTGGTGTGTCTGTGCATGTGCGTTGTCCCGTCAGTGTCCACGCATCCCATGTGGGATATGTGCCACTTGAAATGCACATGGAAACTGACGAGGTGAGAATGAGGGCTTGTTACCTGTAAGCTGCCACCTCCATGCCAAGGTCCATCTTGACCCGCAGCAGATGCTGATGGTCCTGCATCCTCTGCGTGATGGACTCCGCCATGGCGTTCCTTTCTCGTTCCAGCTGGTCGATAATCATCTGGGGAGAAAAACAAGGAGACTATATTAATTAAATGCTGGGTTGCTTTTTCTTCGGCTATTTGTGTCGACACTTGCGATTTTTCTTGCCACCAGAAAAAGAAACATGTCAGCCACGAACAAACAGAAATGAACTTATTCGGATGTCGCTACCAAGCCTTGAGACGGCATACGAGTTGGCAATGATCAAAACGTAACATTTTTACTGTAAACGGTTAACTCATCTTGTCGCTCGTCTTTTGATTGTCCTGCTTGTGGAGCTTAATCTTTAAGAGGCTGCCTAATAGGGATTTTTCAGTCTGAGAGCTAATTGGCTTAAGCGGCTAGAGAGCGGACATGCCCTCGAGATGGCCGAGGCTTAAGGATTGCAAGGCATGATGGAAGCTACATGCTTTTGACAACTGTGAGGATAAACAGAAGCTTCACATGACAGCATTAAAAGGCAGTGGCTGGGCCACAAGGGGCTTTTTTGCACATTTCAAATGCGATCTTAAAAAAAAAAAAAAAGAATAAAATGATCATATACCTGCACAATCTTTTGAGATCACTTTGAGCAATGATTCTTGAAAGTAGCAACCTCCAAACTGCTGTGTTTTGTTTTGTTTTTCCTTGGCTGACTCCCGATTAACTCCCGATTTCCTTGGCTGACTCTTGGAGAAGTCATAGGTCCAAGAATTCGAATATTTTCTGAGTTTTCAGTTCAGTTACATTGGCTTTGGTCACGGACTAAAAATGTGTACCTAATGTAGTGACCTCACCTGATACTCGCCCTCATCCTGACAGAATTTCTCCTGCATGTGCAGCAGTTGCTCCTCCAGACGCATTTGCAGCTGCCCTTGTTTCTCCGCATCCAAGCGTAATTTGTCCAGCTCGGAGTTGTGCAGCATTTTCTCCCTCTGCAGGTCACCTAACATGGCTTGATCCTCCCGGATGGCCCGTTCCATCTCCTCCACTTTCTGTTGGTACATCTCTAAGGTCTGCATCCAGCCTTCGGACATCCCGCGGGCGTACTCCTGCACCTCCTCCACAGAGGCTGCAGGAGGTCCATGGTAACTCTGCATGACCACCCTGGAGTTCACCTACAGCAAAGGCGGCAACAGGACTCACACTCTATACTTGAATAAAGGTATACTTGTATAAAAAAACACAAAAAAATGGGTGACTTGAGCTCATTGCTAGTGGGCTTTAGATACCTCAGTGCTCAAGTAGAGAAAAAAAAAGTTGTGCAAAAAACAGCTGTTCAGACAATTACAAAATGAAAACACTCACAAAGAGCATTGAGCAGATGCTAACGCTGAACTGCATACATATCTGTACTAAACGTGGCGTCCTGATGTCAATCACTCGGCCACACCCCTTAAGCACACATCAACATACGAATATACAAAAGTGGAAGTCAAAAGTGTGTCAAGCAGCCAATCAGAATAATCGTAACAGATGGCCGATGCCATTTTGCATACTGTGATCAATGGCTCACTCATTTAGATTTCTAAAAAGCACAATGACACAAAATGGTCACGGTGAGCGACAGGGTGGCCATGGGTGGCCAAGCCCACCCATGGCCACCCCGTAGCTCCGCCCCACATTCACACCAACGACAATTTAGACTAGTCTTCAATTACCAGTCACATTTCTAAATCAATGTACTGCTTGTCTTCAGAGATTTGTTGTCAAACACTGGGAGTACAAATAAAAAGTTGTCAGACGAATAAATGCATAAGTTGTGACTTTCAGCTTGCCCCATCAGAGGTCGGCACAGCGAGTATGATTTGTTCGGCCTATTTTTTTTCCAGCGGATGTCCTTCATGTCTGATTCCACCCACGTTATCCCATGCAAAGTACAGACAACTCAAAAATGTACTGAAGTACAAAGTACTTCCTACCACTGACCTGGGAGTTAATTTGTCGTCTGAGCTGGCCCATCTGCTGCTGGTGCTTCTCCTCCAAGAAGACATACTCTCTCTGAAGCTCCAGCAGACGCTGCTGGAGCAACGCATTGTTCTGGTGAGCCGCCCGGAGCTCTTCTTCGCGGCCGTGCAGCTCCCCGCCGATGTCCCGGCAGGCGTCGCTCTGCTGGCTGCACAGGGAGCGAACGGTCTCCAACTCCATGCACAGCCTCTCGCGCTCCATCTCGGCGCGAGACTTCTCCAGCGCGACCCGCTCCATCGCCCGCCTCAGCTCGCGAACTTCGGCCTTGTAGCGTGGCTCCCGCTCCGCCACTTGGGCCTGTCTGAGCTGGTTAATCTCCGCCAGAAGACGCGCGTTCTCCCGCTCCAATTGCTGCGTCCTGGTGAGGTACTGAGCCAGCCGGCCGTTGAGCTGCTGCAGCTGCTGCTTGTCCGCCTCAAAAGTTCTTCTTGAAGGCAGCATTGTGGCATCAACAATAGTTGGCAAACGCAAAAATTTTTTGGTGTCCGAGAGCTGTTTTCTCCGGGTGTCCGTGCACGCAAGTGTGACGTCACCCTCCTTCACTCACCCTTTGACAAGTGCACCGGGAGGGGCGTGTCCGCTTTTGAGAATCGCCCTGCCTGAAGGAGAGAATCTGCCAGATGCTGCGGTGCGTTCACTAAATGTCGGACATCTGATGACTCAGAATCCTTTATCATCTGTCTATCCATCCCGCTTCTCCATCCAGCAATCATCCATCTATACATAGAGCTGTATTATTATTATTATTATATTATTAAAAAAATAGACACCCTATCTCATGATTTCGAGATCAGGATCTCATAATTACGAGATAAAATGAAGAAAGCAACTGTAAGGCTCTTTAACTGACGATCATGTATATCACAGGTCATTCACTTGATAAAGTGGTGCAATGCGCCATCGTAAAAAAATAGTATATAACAGTAAACAATGTAAACTTATTTCAAAAAGTTATTAAAAAATAAATTTTAGTTATCCCTCAACCAGACCAGGTCGAGAACATACTAGGGCACCCCAGGTATCCGACCAGACTTGCCTCATCCAGATCTGATGTCGCATTTCAAAATAAAAGGCCTCTGAATTCTGACATGTTGACCTTTTTATCCGATTTTTAAAACATCCTAAAAGAAAGAATTCTACTTATCCCTCAACCAGACCAGGTCTGGGGGACACTAGAGCACCCCAGCTATCCAACCAGACCATCCCCAGATATCCACGTGAAACAGGAACAGATGAATGTTTGCTCCAAGAGGTGCTGAGCCTAAACTGGAGCAGGCATACTTAAATCTCATTCTGATTAATCCAGCACGCTAAAAATGAAATAGAGAATCATCATTGATTAAAAAAGAACAGAAAATCCACCAAAATGCCAAATAAATGAATAAGTGCAAGAATTTATCGTGTTAATTTTTTTTCCAAAATCAACTCACTCAAAATGTTGAGACGAACCATTTGAACTTTAAGTATCTTGTCTTTGTCGTGTATTCAATTAAATATCAGTTGAAAACAATTTATGTTTGTTTTATTTATGTTATGATACAACGTACCAACTTCATTTGAATTAGATTGTTTTTACCGACGTATCATTTGAAAGCCTCAAATAAATACTCGGTCGACTCACGTTGTAGGATACGGTGGTATCAGATCCAGCAGAATTTAGAAATGTCTGCCATCGTGTGGTAATTGGCGGTAATGCAACTTAAAACTACAGACGACCTCTGCAGTCGCAGATAAAGAAATTCGCTGATTTAAAACCAAAAGTTTTATTTCAGTACTTTTCATATTTTGGGTTTCACCATTTTTTTCTACCGTTTCCTCCCGTTTGTCCATTATCTGATCTTCTTTTCTTCACAAGGGTCACAGGTACACCCCGAAATGGTTGCCAGCCAATTCAATACAGTACTATGCATATGCTCACTCACCCAAAGGGTGCGTTGTTGTAAAAGGGAAAAACAAACAAAAACGGACAACAAAGAGAATACAAAAAAAGGTCATCTTTATACTGAATCATGGGGGCATTTATACAGTGATTTAAACTGGTATTATTGAAGAAAAAAATCAAAAAATAAATAAATAGCACATCTAAAGAAGAAAATTAGAAAGAAAGGGTAACATTTCCCAAAATAAAATAAAAATCAGGAAAAAATCCTTCAAGATTACATATAACATCCATTTTAAGACATTTTAATCATTAAATCTTTTTCGCTCTTGAATCCATTCTTTATTTGGTTTGAGAAGAAGTAATAACTTTTGTACAGGGTGGCGGGAGTGTTGGTTGTGGTGACTAAAAACAGAAAAAAAAAGTGATAAACATGATTAAGGCAAATGACAAGACCCACTTAGCCCTACAATTGCTCCAACTGGGCTTTAAAAACAAACATTTGGTTTATGTGGCTTATCAAAAAAAAAAAAAAAACCCAAAACAAATAAACAAAAAAACGGAGGCACCGGCAGAATGGAAGATGATGGGAACAGGAGGAATTTCGACAACAAGAGAATGTGTGGAGAAAAGGAGAAAAGCCTTTTTTAAAACTTTGACCTGAGATTGAGTTGCACCCTGAGGCGCAGTGCTAGACCACAAAAAGTACACCCAAAAAAAAAAAAAGGGGGGGGGGTGCAGAAGAAAGCTCACACACGGAGCTAAGGTGTCCATTCCAAATAATAATAAAAATAACAATAATAATAAGGATAATAAAATAAGACAGTCATCCAACAAAACAAATACTGACAAAAACCTCTAAAAGAACACATTTCATGACTAAAATCTTTTTTGTGTGTGTGTGTCATTTTACCATATATTTTATATATTAACAGATTTTTGTGGATAAGAAAGTAGTGGAGAGAAAAGCAAACCTGAAGGATTTCAGAGAAAAGAGAATAAATAGCAGCTTTGTCATGTATACACACACACACACACACACACACACACACACACACACACACACACACACACACACACAGACACACAC